ATCCATCCATCCATCCATCCATCCATCCATCCATCCATCCATCCATCCATCCATCCATCCATCCATCCATCCATCCATCCATCCATCCATCCATCCATCCATTCATTCATTTATTTATTCAATCATTTATTTATTTGTTTGTTTGTTTGTTTGTTTGTTTATTCAATAATCAAGACGTTTTTCCTTAACATTTCGCCTTCCGCGCATGCGCTTAAACGATCAAGTGAACTCGGACGTTTCGGGCAATCAAGAGGAATGTTACGGAGAGAAGAATTTTTTTGTTTTGTTCGTAGGCGGACAAATTTACAGATGAAGAAATATCAGGTTTGGCAGATCATTATTTCATTCATTTATTTATGTATCATTTTAATTCATTTATTTACTTTGGTTGGTTTAAGGATGTCCATAAAAATTATACAATCAATAAACAGATAATGGTTAGTTAACAGTTAATGAATGAGGCTGAGTGTCTTATGAAGAATTATGGAGATCGAGGTGGGTGTTATCCGTCGAGGCCGTAAGCCGAGACGGATAACACCCTCCGAGATCTCCTTAAGTTTTCATATGATACGACAGCCAAATTCAATAACTGTTTTATTATTCATTCAAAACAATTCGTAGTTTAAAAACATAGCTATAACATGCTTACCTCCATCGATTCATCAATGTTCGGTTCATCTTCGATAGTGTACGTTTAGGTTTGTCCAGCTCCGCAAATATTCTCCAAATAGCAGATGTCGCCCTTCGAATTGTCTTCTTGCTGTTCTTGCCATGTTTTTAGCTATTTTTTCGACTAGGTCTTAGTCTTGAAACGAGTGAAATGTCCGCCATTTTTTCAAGTTCACAACCAAAACAACTCAACCTCGTCCCCAGGTCTTCTCGGTTAACGGTGCCTTGACCTGCGAAAACGCTGCATTTTTGACGTCATTTCCTCGTTAAAGTTACCCCTGGGTTCCAGAGGATATTTTTTTCTTATCGATACTGAAGCCGCGTTAACGCAAAAAAAAAAAACNTTTAATTCATTTATTTACTTTGGTTGGTTTAAGGATGTCCATAAAAATTATACAATCAATAAACAGATAATGGTTAGTTAACAGTTAATGAATGAGGCTGAGTGTCTTATGAAGAATTATGGAGATCGAGGTGGGTGTTATCCGTCGAGGCCGTAAGCCGAGACGGATAACACCCTCCGAGATCTCCTTAAGTTTTCATATGATACGACAGCCAAATTCAATAACTGTTTTATTATTCATTCAAAACAATTCGTAGTTTAAAAACATAGCTATAACATGCTTACCTCCATCGATTCATCAATGTTCGGTTCATCTTCGATAGTGTACGTTTAGGTTTGTCCAGCTCCGCAAATATTCTCCAAATAGCAGATGTCGCCCTTCGAATTGTCTTCTTGCTGTTCTTGCCATGTTTTTAGCTATTTTTTCGACTAGGTCTTAGTCTTGAAACGAGTGAAATGTCCGCCATTTTTTCAAGTTCACAACCAAAACAACTCAACCTCGTCCCCAGGTCTTCTCGGTTAACGGTGCCTTGACCTGCGAAAACGCTGCATTTTTGACGTCATTTCCTCGTTAAAGTTACCCCTGGGTTCCAGAGGATATTTTTTTCTTATCGATACTGAAGCCGCGTTAACGCAAAAAAAAAAAGCGCCGAGGAGAAAAAAATTTTTTTTTTTCTCCTCGGCGCTTTCCGCCTCGTTAACGCGGCTTCGCCGCGAACCATCAGTGTCGATAAGAAAAAAATTTCCTCTGGATCCCAGGGTACGTTACAGTCAAATTTCTTCCAAATTTGGTTATCAGTGACTGGTTATGGTGAATTAAACGTGTGCTTTTAGCCAATCAGAATCGGGGAAATATTTTGAATGAATAATAATGATAAATAAAGAATGATGGTAAATTTTCAGCTCGGTGGAGAAATAGAAGTGATGTGATCCTATAAAGCAGTATGCAGGACGTATGTCATACATGAACCTTGTATATGGCCTAGCTTGCCACGAGTCCTTCGTAGCTTAGTGGCTAGAGCATCCGACCAGTCGATACGGAAGGTCATAGGTACAATTCCTATCGGGGACTCAGATTTTGTCTTTTTTCCCGCGCTCGTGACATGTTAATCACATCATTTCTCAGATAATGGTTTCTTTTTCACCGTCCTTTCCTTATAGAGTACAGGGAGGCTTTTCAGCTGTTTGACAAGGATGGTGGGGGAACAATAAGCATAAAAGAACTCAAGCAAGTATTTGAAGCGTTAGGACAGAGTCCAACTGAGGCGGAAGTCCAGGAAATGATATCGGGCGTCGATAAAGACGGTACGAATATACCGCTAACAAGGATATGACCCTTAAAAGTATGGAGAATGATTCTGGGGTTTACTTAAAGTTAAGGCGGTACGGATAGCCCGCCTACAGTGGATATGTCTTGAGAAGTACAGGGAATGAATGATATTTGGGGTAGATAAATACTGTAGGTATTAAGCTCGCTAACCAGGAGTATTACCTTGGAAGTATAAGGAATGATGGGGTGTATCAAGGCGGTATGGATAGCCCGCCTGCAGGGGAAATAAAATACCTGGGAAGCACAGTCAATGAAATATGGGGTAGCTGAGGACGATACGTGTAGCCTACCAAGAATGTCTACCTTGGAAGTACAGCGAATGGTATTTTTGCAGTGAAATTTCGTTCCAATCGTCTGCACGTTTCTCCTACACTGGGAACTTCTTTTTCGATTTTCAGTTTTAAATACATATAGACAATTTATTTAAGGGGAGGGGACAGAAATATCCGCACGAACTACAGACAAAAGACAGCGACCGTAGTAATAAAGCAACTGTGACTCAGTACCTACAGATGAAACAAACGCATCCCTAAGCCAGAGCTATGAAAATCTGATGAAATACATGATCTTCCCGAAAAGAGGTGTTTAATCGTCTGCATATTTATGTGGCAAGCATACAATACCCATCGTTATATTGCATGATTATGACCTTTACAGGAGTTCAGTATAGGTACTTTATACACTGATTTACGGAACCCATATGGGGAGCATGAAACCAAATCATGGTTTTGAGTCTGATGTTGAAAAACAACTGAGTAGTGGCGATTCGTCCCTGTTGAATCACCGTCAATTTATAATTAATTTCATTTCACGACATTTTAACACAAAACGACTATACTAGTTCAGAGTATGCCAGATTATGGGGATAGGATGTCTTAATACAACGTCAAGACTGACAATAATGAAATATTTTCCATGAAAACAGGTTAATCAGTTTGAGAATTAAAGGCTGCAATAAAAATACAAAGCTTCGAGACACTTTGGCGTTAAAATGTTTTCCTTCTCAGTGAAGTCTAAAGAATATAGGAGGCAGTAAAATAGGGTTTGAAACCACACATCATCAAAACTGGGCAAGCCTTTTAGACTCGTTTCTTGAGTTAACTTTATTTCAATCATTCCTTCCCCCAGGAAGTGGTGAGATAGATTTCGATGAGTTTTTGCAGTTAATGGCCTCCAAGCAAGCCAATATGACGATGGAAGACGAGTTGAGGAATGCGTTCAATGTATTTGATAAAGACGGCAGTGGTTACATCTCGTCCGACGAACTCAAACAGGTCTATAGTCTCTTAAAAATTACGAATTAGCACCATAAGAATCATCACTAATCATCATCATCATCATCATCATCATCATCATCATCATCATCATCACATTATCTTCCGGTAGACGCAATTATCTTGGAGGAATGGCGTAAACACAACGTCTAGCGACTTTTCTTTCTCTCAGAAGTTGGATACTGATCTCAATAATTCAACTCCATGAAGGTTCGCCTACACTTGACAATAGAGTGAATTGGGTTAGTACTAACCACGATAAAGTTCAAACAACGCTATATCACTTGGTAAGAGGTTTTATTAAGTTGGTGTTGTTGTTGCTTCAGGCTATAGAGGACTTATGCCTGTGCCTATTTTTTGCATATGGGGTTCCTCAAGTAAAAGTAGAGTTCCCTGTTTTTTAGTGACGTAAGCACCTAGGACCCTCCCTGGATGAGTTGCGTGACCATCGCTGGGCTACCCACCCTCGTCCCCAGGGTCTTTAATCTCCAAGAGGATGAACTCTGGGAAAAAAAAAACACCCTAGAAACGAAGTATGAGGGACCATTCCCAGCAGAACGTCGCAGGTACTAAATTGTACACAAACCTTGTTTGATGCAAAATAAGTTCTTAGTCAGAGAAAAGGACTTTGGGTAGCTTCAACCCGTACCTACTAGCCACAACCTTAATTACGACGAACATTTAATTTTAGTATCTGAAAATCTGGAGGCAAATACTCGGGTACAAAAATATCATCTTTGGAAGGTTTTCCGGTTTTAGAGGTTTCTTCAACGCAGAGCGTCGCAAATAATAAAGTTGTGCTGTGAACTTTCAGGTTATGACTAATCTGGGTCAATCGCTGACAGACGAAGAAATTGATGAAATGATGAAGGAAGCTGATTGCGACTCGGACGGGCAAGTCAGCTTTGAAGGTAAGTAATCTTATATGACGTTAACCTTCACCTATTTTGCCTTGCTACGTAAGCAACGCATGAAATCGATTTGACAAGAGCTGCAAGAATAATAACTCATCGGGCCTAAACAAGTTTTAACCATGACAGCCCCCACTCAACTGACGTCACATTAGTTTAGGCGTCAATGTATTTAGAGCTGTTCTATGTCTCCTACTCAGTAAAGAAAGCGCAACCATTTCTAATTGACCATCTAGGTCGCGTGAAGGTCTTGGCGGTTGTAGGGCAAAGACAGTACTTTCATTTCTCTTTTATTTTTTTGTAGACCCTGGTTTTGGCTGGGCCCCAATCGAACCCGCGACATCCTTGGCTGCAGCACAGCTCTCTGACTAAGGGAATCCTACCCCTCATGCAAATACTAATAAAAATCTGTAGCTTTATCAAGAAAACCGACAAGGACATGTTGAACCCGCTTCTCATTTTTACTTTGTCACCCAATTTTGCAAACACACACTGCAAGCTATCAATTTCAAAGGCCACGCTCTTACAACCCATGCAGGGAATATCGCTTGCTGCATTATTTGTTGTCAATGACGCAAATGACGTAACTGCGATCATTATCAGCGTCTTCGTCGAGGCTACACCTCGCATTATGTAAGGGAATCCAGAAAATTTTTGCTTCAATTGGATTCCGAGAAACGAGTGCAGAAATTACATACTGATGACGTGTCACTAACCAGATCTGGGTAGTACTTCTGATTGGTTGAATCAAATTTCCCACGCGGCACGACCGAAGTACTGCCTAGATCTGGGTAGTAACGCGTCATGATCAGTATGGAATTTCTACGCTAGTTTCTCTGACATCATTTGGCGGGGAAACCAGTGGTAGCATCGCCAAATGACGGCTTTTTTCTCAGGCTAAGCAATGCAGGGCAAAACGTTTATAGCGCGCCTATCCGTTTCGTAGTACACGAAAACGTTTGTCTTGATAAACTATAAATTAAGTGCGTCTTCACCAGTAAAGACCAAATCCCCGTAAAACTTTGTGTTTTCTCATTTCAGAGTTTGTGCAGATGATGACCAGTATCGCGTCATAAGGCAACAGACGGCCTCTTTTATCATAGATTTTTCAACTATTTTTAAGAGGTTACCTTTCTTTTCTACCCTGTTTTACTTTGGGTTCAAATCACTAATAAACACAAGTTTCTTTTTTAGTCTCGTTTGAGGTTGTAAAATTTTTAGAATTCCTCGAAAAATTCATGTGAGTAAAAGGGAAATCGCAGGCCTTCTATGCGCCCCCACTTTTTTAATCAACGATTAATGCAGAAGTTGACGATCTTGGTCATTGGACAAAGCTCGTTATGTCATGTAGTCTTGTCGGTTGTGACTAAAGTGGATACCCCGAAATTAGGCCGTTCCCTTCATTTAAAATGCATTAAAACTAAAACTATTATAAGAAGAAACTCTGCAGAGCTTGACGTTTAAGTGTACCCTTAAACCAAATTTTTGCATTGCTTACCTAGAATCACCACCAGAACTACTAGAAAGGTGATACGTACTCATATGCCATTTGCTTATTGCATATAATTTGAAAGACTAACCGTTGCTAAATCAGTGCCTCGCTTGATCTAAATCAATTTACATTTGGTGCAAAACCTGTGAGATGCCCCAATATAACAGCGAAGAACCAAGGGCATTTTCGGGGGTAGAGGGAGGGTGGGGGGGGGGAAGGCACATTAAACTCAATTCCAGAGTATTGGCGTTTTCCCCGCCGTCATGGCTGAAAACAGGCTTTGCTTTCACTCTTAAATATTTACCCCAAGCAGAGCCCAAGTTACCTGATCAAGCTTTAACGTTACGGGACAAAAGAGGGTCACAATGGGGTGGTGGCATTTACGGTTATCGGCTAAAGTTTTGGCTCTTTTACGGCTATCGGCTATTTTTTTTTTAGTTACGGTTAACAAAAAAGTTAAAAATTACCTTCTTTTGTTTCAAAAAGTTAAATATTAATTAACCTGTATTTTTTGTATCTTTAAAGCCAAATAAAGGTCTTAACATTATCTTGGGATGTGAAACAAGCTATTCTTTTGAGAAATTTTAACATTTGATAGATCGTACTTTTTATAAAGAATTCCACTTCTAATATTATTTTACACATAGAAATGTCAATAGTCAATTTAAAAATAATCTTTGTGAAAAAGTAAAGCACACACGCGAACATCCAACTCAAGGCCTGGGCGCGACATTCATTACAACAGAAATGGCCGATTTCAAACCAGAGACGGAGGATTATTCATGTGAGACGGGTTATCCATTTGATGATTCGCGTCAGATAGGTAAATACGTCTTGATTTGAAAATGGAATAGTTTTAATTTTGAATGAACAATCCGCCTGGCTTTATGCTTCAATTTCGACGGACAGTGTGAAGACGGGATTATCCGTTCCAGATAGCCTATGTACAGCCGCCCCCTCCCCTCAGAAAAAATCGTAGAAGGGGTGTCTGTCGGGAAGGGGGCGACTATACACAGGCTAGTCTCCGTGTCCGGTGTTTTTAATGATAGCGAAGGACTGTACGGAACCACTGTCAGCCGTTGCCTTGTCCGTAGGCCTCATTATTTCGCGCGGCTAATGCGTTTCGGATCACCTGGTCCGAGCGAGTTCGCCACCGAAATGCCTTGACCAAGATTGCGTGGGAAGACGCCGTACAGGGACTAGGCATGGCAATGTCTACCGTAGCGTCAGAGAAAAACAGGGAAATGTTGTTTATGGGCAACGTGTTTAACAAACAGTGAGATCTCTGAGTGTTGTTTCAATAGTGTTTCGAGGGCACGACCTTCTGAAAATCCCAAATATTAACCCCCAGCAAGAAGCCACACTTTCGCTATGGAAAAAAAAATTAGTTCCCCGAGAGAGCGGCGGAAATGGAAATACCTAACGTGCGTACGGAGCCACACTAGCCGGGAAATTAAAAAACGCAACCATAAGTGAGTTTAGTACCTTCCTTAAAAGTAGCAAATGTAGGGAACAGTTTCTTGTACGGTTAAGTCTTTTTTTACCCTATTTATGGCTAACGGTTAAAATTTTTCAATTTTTACGGCTATCGAGTAAATTTTTGGCCGTTTTATGCCTATCGGTTAACCCCATTGAGACCCTCACGAAATAGCTACCGAAGAATTCTGCAGAGGTTGCGGTGATTCAAATAAATATATGATATTATTGGACCCGTTCCATTCAGTAAGTCAAATTGTTCTCTACTAACTAATTAAAGAGTGGGGGCTCTTCGACTTATCGTACAACCTCGCTATTTTTTATATTTCTTTTAGGCAGCAGTAGGAAGCCAAACAAAAACTGATCAATATCTTGAACGACTAATAATAACAATAATCTTTCAACATGAGGGTAAGAGACACGGCTCCCAAAAACAGACATACAAACAAACAAACCAACAAAAACAGAACAATTCAATACAGGGCCCAGATTGACTTCGTAGCGTAAAGGTTTTAAACGGATTTATTAAGGCCTTTAGTGCCAAGAATGAAATGTACGCCCCAGTGACACACTTTCAGTTCTCATCAGTCTATGTTCTAGAATAGCAAAAGACCATTTAAAACCTAGAAATTGCAACGGACACTTCAAGCCGAGTTATACTAAAGAGTCTGCGGCCTCTTTAAATTAAACCAGCGAAAGAACACTACAATAGAGGGGGTGGTTTTGGAACATGACACAGACTCAACTCAGT